GACGTCGCCCCCGCGCCTCACTCAGCCAGTGAGCGGGAACCGGTCTGCATGTGGGATCCGAACCCTCGGGCGGGAGTGCCGCCGCGCTTCCCAAGCAGCGCACTTATCCAGTGCGCCACCGGGCCGGCCCTATAGAATGAACATTCTGTTTGCCCTAATTTTCTTCCTTTCTAAGTCCATAATTCATTCCCCACAGACAGCTTTCCTATTATTTTTGTGCTTAATGAAAGTAGGGTGTGGATGAAAACCCAGCACTTGCACTTGGACAGCAAGAGAGAGGACCAAGACAAAATTCAGAAGCTCCTGGTGTCCAGAATTAGGTGCCTATCTTTTATGCTATTGGTAGTTTTCTCTCTCTCTTTCTGTCTCTCTCTTCCCTGCTTTATTGAGGTATAATTGATGTACAGTAAGTTGCACATATTTAAAGTGTGCAATTTGATGCATTTTGACATTTGTATACATGAAATTATCACAACAATTAAGATAATGAACATATCCTTTCCCCCACCTTTCATCCCCTCCACCCCAGGCAACCACTGATGTGCTTTTTGTCACTGTACATTAGTTTGGATTTCCTAGAATGTTGCATATGTGGAATTATACGGTATATATTCTTATATTATCTTGCTTCCTTTACTCAGCATAATTATCATAATTATTTTGACGTTTCATTTGTTGCATGTAACAGCAGTTCATTTTTATTGCTGAGTAATACTCCGTTGTGTGAATATACCATAATTTGTTTCTCCATTCACCTATTGATGGACATTTGGGTTATTTCCCCTTTGGGGCCATCACAAATAAGTTCTTATGAACATTTGCGAACAAGTCTTTGTAAGGATATGTTTTCATTTCTCATGGATAAATATATAGGAGTGCAATGGCCTGGTCCTATGATTGGCATGCACTTAACTTTTTAAGACACTTCCAAACTGTTTCCCAAAGGGGATTGTAGTGTTTAACATTCCCACCAGCAGTGAATGAAAGTTCCATTTGCTCCATATCCCTCCCAATATTTGGTGTGGTCAGTCTTTAAAATTTTTGCCGTTTTAATAGGTGTGTAGTATAGGCATTGAAAGAACGACAGGACCCGAGCTGACAGTTCGCCGGAGAAGTTCCGCTTTATTCGGGGGAGAAGCATACATTTATATAGAGCCGGGTTCCGGG